CTGCAAGGGGAAAACCCCTGGGATAATCTGTCCCCAGACAGGGCAACCCTGAGGGGCAATTTGATTTTTAAGGGCTTGCAGCTGCCTGACAGAGGAGAAGCTACTGCTTGGGTGGGGAGAAGGCAGGATATGGTGTGAATGGCAGAGCCTGCTCCAGGAGAGGATTTGAGACCTGTTTCCATCACAGCTCTCAGGCAGCTCACAACAGTGGAGACAGAAGCCTTGCTCTCCAGGACACAAAACAAGGCAGGACTGAAGAGTCAGGCACATACCCCTGGTTGAGGAAAGGGAGGCTACAACCAAAGGGCAGAGACGGCCAAGGACATGAGTGGGGCTCCTGCTCGGGGAAAACACAGGGGTCTGGAACAGCAGGGAAGGTGTAAAAGGGTTGGGTTTGGGTGTAAGGATGTTTTAGGAGCATAGTGAGACAGCAGTGGCTCTTGGTCACATGAAGGCTTGAAATGACTACTACCACAGCTGATGAGCTCATAATTACAGAGTGGGGAAAAAATGTTTCTTTTTTGGGGTTTCCATAAAAAACACAAAATACAAGCCAGTATCTGTTCTCTAACCAACAGTGTAACTCCTTACAGTCAACAGTTTCAAGAGGATCCTTCCAAAAGACATGTTAAAACTCCTTCTGGGCAATGCATCCAACTGGATCCAGTGGAGCCCTGCAGTCACAGCACGGCTCTTTCCCCACCGGCTGGGCTGGAGGCGTCTCGCAGGCATGCAAGACCCTGATCCTCTATCTCTGCCCACGGGAGAGAGCTGCTCACATATCTGATTACCAGCTTCCATGCCAGCTAACATTTCCCCGTGTACCTGCCAGCCCCAGTTAGTGTCCAGAATACAACTGGCATCCTTGCAAGCATCAATCTTACTGTCTTTATTTCTTAGGAACAGCATCCATCTGCTCCCAATAGCTCACATCTGGCATACTGAGTGTTACAAAAGAGCCTCAGTCCTATTGAAAGAAAATTATTCTTCCAGCCAACAGATTCATGCAGAACTCAGTTTAGTATTTGGAATTACAAATTTACTACAAATCATAGTTACCCGAGGTTTCAAACTTTAGAATTACTATTTCATGTAGTGCTTGGGTTTTAATAACTAAAAAGTTGCTCTTATGTAAACTGCTGCGTGATGGAAAATGTTTATGGACAAAGCAAGGAGAAGCAGTAGGAACCCCAGCACAGAGAATCTACACAGCAAAGAAGGTCCTGAACACTGCCTGGGTTGCTGAAGATTTCTTCCTGCAATGAGCAGTGTATAAAAAGTGGAGGTATTCCTCAGGTTAAGCATTCCCTTCCCAATTTCACCACCTGGCATGGTATGCCGAGCCTTCCTGTGATGACCTGCGTGCACCCCAAGGGATGAGGGCCACCACTTCATCTGCGCAGAAAGCTGGACCAGGAGGAAGCAGCCTGTGCCTTGTGCTGCAACACACGAACTGAACTGTGGAACGAGTGTTGGTCACTGGCCCTTTGAGAGGACGTGACAATCTCCTGCATGACCAGCCCGTGGTGTGGTCAAAGGAATGAAAATGGGTAATTAGGCAGAAAGAGGAGGTCCTGCCACCCTTGGAAGAGAAAAGGCGGGTGGTGCTTGGAAAGGCTGCTACAACCATGAGCTGTAAACCAGGACTTTTGCAGACAAGGGCTAGTCCTGTAGTATCAATGACAGCTGAAGGGAAAAACTCTGGAAGCTCCCAGTATTCAGACAAAACCTGGAACGCTCCCAGCTGACAATGGCACAGCCTATGGCATTACAGCGACCAGCAAGGCGGCTTTCGACATTCACCATTCCAGCACAGGGAACGCAGCTGGCCTCACATCTCTGCATCCAGACAGGGACAGAGACCAGCACTGGGAGTACTCCTGTTCCAGCTGAGTTGGCAATTTGTGTTTTGAGTGTCAGTCCTGCCTGGCTGGGGAGGGAAGGACACTTTGCCCTCTGGTTGCAGTGGGAGCAGGCTAGCCAGTGAGGCTGTCAGTAGTAAGCGTGCATGTGTTTTACTTGGCCCTACTCCTAAAATAATTGTTTGGCCACAATGGAAGGTGACAAGCAATTCAGCTGCAGACCCACAGGGAATATCAGGAGAAACTCCCCGACCACTCACACGACTGTGCCTGGTCTGCTCTGAACAGCAGCATCACATCAGCACCCTCCCTGGTCCCCACCAACCCTCAACTCCTGGCCCAGAGAAGTTCTTCTCCCTCCTACTTGGATCCGATGGTTTCCTTGTCCTCCTGCCTGGGCTTAGCAGGAGGGCCACTGACAGCAAAAGAGGGTGCACCAACCTTCACCAGAACACGGCCAGACCTGCTATTGAAAAAACAAAACCCTACTCAGCTTCTGGCAAGAGCATGGAAAGTGCAGCCAGAATCGCTGGGAACATAGGTATTAAAATAACAAATATCTCTACCCAAACATGCTTGTACTGTGATTGCTCAAGGCTGTAAGTATGAATAAATTTGGACAGATTTTCACTGGATAACACAAACAACAGATTCTTGACACGGGGATCACCTGCAACTCAAGTTTCCAATGTATCAAAAGATCATCGGAACTGGACTCAGGAAAAATATTTTTCCCTCTTACTATGTTTTCAGAAGGAGATGAACCATTTTGGCCAATCAGTTATTTTGTACGTTGGTTTTTTTTTTGGTAATGGGGTTTTTTTTGTTTGTTTGGGTGTTGGGGTTTGGTTTTGGTTTTTTTTTTTTTTGCATAACCAAAGGCATGAGTAATTTCCAGCATGGAAAATTTCTGCCTAAAGAGCTAAAATTGGCATAGAATCATACAACAGTCATATAAAAAGGCCTCCATCAATGGCAACAGTCAGTGCTACCAAACCTACCTAGAGCATTTTTTTCCACTGTGCTAAGAGGATCTGTTTCACTCCTCGCCTTTCAATCCGATTTCCACCGTACCGCACCGCGAGTTTAAAATAAGGACACCAGGAAGCATGTGCGATAAGAGAGAAGGAAGGGAAAAACCACAGTTTCATTCATTCTTTCAACAGAGCCAAAAAGGAATGGTTAGGTTTCTGGGTTTGGGGTTTTTTTTGTTGGTTGTTTTTTGGTTTTTTTTGTTTTTTTTTAAGAAAAAGCTGTGGGGAACAGGGAAGGGGGGAGATGTTTGCTTCAAACTTTCCCGTCTGCACCATGGGATATATACGTAAAGCACTTCTGTGTCTAAAGGTGCTCCAGGGTGTTTTGCAGAGCCACTTTGAGTCTCTGGCTTCGGACAACCTCCAGTGATGATGCTTACCACCTAGGAGCATGCAGAGCTCCAGCCAAGATGGAAGGGGAGGAAGACAGGAAGGACGGCCACTATTTCCCTTTTAGGAACAAGGCAGCCCAGGGAAACAGCACAGCTGGAGGCACTGGTTTGTCACATACAAACCGCAAGAGACTCTGCCCCACTTGCAGCAAATGATGCCGTGATCTTGGCCACCACCTTGGAGCACCAGTGAAGATGAGATGCTGTGAGAAGGAAGCACAGAGCTCCATTTCCTTCCAGCCCTGGCTGCTGCCCAACAGCTGTTCCCTGTTTATTGACTTTAGTATTTCCTTGGTTACACAAGCAGCTGCACACAGCTTAACCCCTGCCTGCACCAGCAACCACCCATGCCATCTCACCTCGGCCTGGCACGATTCTGCGGGACAGCAGCACAGGGCAGGGGAAGGACACTCAGGGGCTTGCTGAAGCCAGGCTCTTCCTATCCAACCAAAGCTTGCTCAACATGGTCACCCTCCTGGACACGTCCACAGCTCTGCAGAAGGTGCCTTGTTGGGCAAGGGACAGGGCACCATCGATGTGAGCAGCCATCTCGCACAATCCCAGGCTTCGCAGGCTGACCTGCAGCCAGCTGACCAGCTGGACCTGGGACAGCCATCTGGGTTCCCACTGGGTTTGCTTTGCTAGGCAGGTCCAGATGCACTGTAATTTTAGCAGCATATTTGTGTCTGGATGCAACAACTTCAGGAAAGGCATGCTCATTCCTGGGCAACCACAGCACCCTTTCAGATAAAGCACATCGCGACATTCACCTTCACACGAGCGGGTCGCTGGAGGCAGAGCGTGCCCAGCTCCTTCTCCCAGTCATACACACAGCCCAGGAGGGATGTGCCAGTGACTTTTCTGGCAGCTGCTGCTCGTCCATGGATCACTTCATGCATTTTCCTTTCTCATCTGCAAAGCGCCTATTCCAACAGCTCAGTTTGTGTTTTGGCTCATAAAGCTCAGCCAGACCCCTTGGCTCATCTCCACCAAGGAGGGGGTGGAAAACACCCTTTGCCTGCTCGCTCAGAATACCGGCTTCAGCTTTCTGCAACACGGCCTGTCCCAATTGCCTTTCCAGCCTCCTCCCTCTCTCCCAGCTCCATTTTCTTCCCGGCTCCCCCCTGCACCAGGAGGTAATTGCTAAAGCAGCTGCTGGCAGCTGCCCTCCGGGCTGGCAATGCACTGCATCAGGCACTTCCCCAGCGCCTGCTCCCCAAAATGCCAGCCAGCAGGACACAGACCCCGGGAATCAGCGCTTTTCAGCAGCAACCCTGTTTTGCTGTGATAGCAGCCAGGAAAGGCACAGTGTTAGTTCTGCTGGAACGGAATTCGGGCCTAACTTCAACAAAATCCCCCCTCAGAGCAAACAATCCAACCCAACAAAACCCCGCCACTCGCACAGATTTCTGCTGGAGGAATTCAAACACACCTATGCAGCCCTGCGTGCATTCGGTCCAGGGAGCAACAGCAAAGCTGCGACATGCAAAAGCCCCAGGAGACTCTGGAGCCAAGAGTCCAGGCTTTTGAGATTGTCTTTTTCTTGCTTTTTCCAAGGATGTCCAAAATTGCTTTTAAGCTTCCCCAGATCAAACCGTTTTCTGGTAGATTACAAAAAGCATGCTTAGCGTAAGACAGAAGCCACTCTTCTCAACTGACCACAGCTTCTGACCCTCCGAAGTCAAAACCCCAAGCTCTGGCAAAACACTTACCTGCAGGTCAAAGAACTTGCTGTACCGTCGGTATATGACTTCCGTGGACCCATTGGACCAGGTGACTTTGATAATGTACACCTGTAGGGAACAGAGAGAGAGATCAGAGAGGAGCGACCCAACGACCCGCAACACAACACGAACGCTGCTAAAGCTTCCAACGCAGTCCCCACGGCTGGGCGTCAGCCAGGGAAGTTCACAGGTCCTCTTAAAGTCATTGCAGCAATGCTAGAAAATGAGTAAGATTACATAATTAAGCCCTACTGATGCAACTTAACTGCCTACTCCATGCTTATTGATAGTTGTGAACTAATACAGCCCCCTATCCCTAAATAGGTGCGTACGTCAAATATGAAAGGGCACTTCCATGTAAAAGCCACAGTTAAAAGTCTCCCCAGACACAGACCCATCCCGAGTTAATAACTCGGCCTTGGCCATCCCTGGGCCACCACTGCCAGCCTGGGTCCAGGAGCTGGGGCTTGCAGCAACTCAAACCCACAAGGTTCGAAACTCCGTCTGTTCTGTCGTAAGCAGCTCTGAGGTTCTGTCTATTTAAACTTGCTGAGGTGCAAATTACTCTCTCTATTCCTTAAAATGCTACACAATCAATCCTAGTAATTGCAGGTTATTCACAGACCATATGACCAGGCTCTTTCTGGTGATGAAGGCAAAAAAACCCAAACCACCAACCCCAAAACAAAAAAACACACACACACCCAACCCAGTTTTTCTGTTCTTCTGTGAAAGACAACAAGGAAATAACAGAATTGGGCAATTATTTTTCTAATGTCCTTGCTTGTTGCTCACAGAAACCAAAGATGACCCTTGACTAGATGCCAGCGTAACACTCAAGTGATGCAAACCTCAACCTTCAGTAAGTGATAACAGATTGACTAAGCAGGACAAAGGCATGTTCATTTTTAATTCTAACTCTCATGTTAGGCTTATTTCCACCATAAATTAAAATATTGATTCACTGAAGCAGGAACAAAACATTCAGAAACTCAGGAGAACAGACCTGCTGCAACTCCTTAACATAAAGGCATGAAGGCTCTTAGGATACTGATGTTTTGGTATTTAAAACAGAATCCCTGAAGAGTTTCACGAGGTTTCTCAAAGAGACACACGTTTTTCCAGATGCTGGAATGTGACCAACATCCCAGCCTGATATCGAAACTCAAACACCAGGAGACTCAAACGGATAGAACAACACTAAACAATTTGAGCTCATCACACCTACTCGGATGCTGTACTAAAAAATCCAATCGAAAGGTCACTCGCTGCTCAGAGGGCTGACGTAGCACGACCTGCCAAGGTGAGGAGACTCCCCAGGAGCCACAAACTCTTCCCAGCAGAATCACTTCCAAATTAAGATGGGAAAAGAGGCAGCCAGATGAAGCAAGTTCTTACTGCTAAAATAAAGAACTTCAGTACTTTCAACTCAGCAATTCAATGACTATTTTTCTTAAACCAGATGATCAGCCCAAACACAGCTGCGACTGCTTTGCTGACTTGCAGGGAGCTGGCTGGGCATCAGAGGCACCACCACCCCCTCCCAGACAAAATCCGAATCGCTCGGCACTGCCTCACACGCCTTATTCAGCTAACCACAGTCCTCTCCTTTCATTCACAAATTCCAATTTTGAGCCGAAGGACCTGCGCTCTCTGCATATTAACACAAGGAAGACAGCAGGCTCCTGCAAGACACCATCTGTAGTGGCTGTGGAGACCTGGATGGACTGTGATTTGCTACAAGGGGGGCCTAGACACCATGCTTACTTATCACTAGTACTCTGCATTGCGTCAGGCACAATACCCATTCAAGAATATGCTTCTAGACCTCAACGGGGCAGGGACAGCTTGGCTGACCACAGTTTGCAATGAAAACTGGTAAAGTTGCATGACGTGGCCTCCAAAGTATCCAATAGCGTCCATACAGTCGCCACCAGACCATCAGCAAATTAAGTGTTAACTTGATGCTAAGGAAGCATCCAAGCTGCCTTTACCCTCACCCCAGGACTTGCCAGCAGGCCAGCATGAGCTCATTTTGGTTGGAAGCTCAGCTGATATCCTAGCTTTCTTACCAGTCTACAGCACTTTACGGGGTTATATCACTGCTGGCTACCTGCCTGGAGAAAGCCTTCCACTGGGGCAGGGGGAAGAGCCAACTTTTCTTCATTGTTTATTCCTATCCTGCCTTTATTTGGAGTCAACAGCTTATTAGACTGGGATTTTAATCAGGATGTGGATTTGCTCAAGCCAAAATGAATTCAAAGCTTTTAAGGGTAATAAAGCCATGAGATCTGAGGGCACACCACGCTTCGTTATACCCTTTGCAATTGAGGGAAGGAGCATTTCTCCCAGCCGATGAGCTCACTCCTATTTTGCTGAAATACAGATCTCCCTGGAGTCAGGATAACAGTTTCTTGCACATCCCATTTGAATAGCAGAAAGGTCTCAGAGGGTATCTCCTAACCTACTTGTGGACAGCAGAAAAGATGGGGAAGCCCACAGGAACAGAGCTCCTCAATATCTATAAAACCACTGTCTCAGTAAAGCTGGCTTCCTCTCTCCTTGTGAATATCCCTTGTCCTTCACCCGGACGGCCCCATCCCACTGAGGTATTCTGTTGGCCAAAACGATCACATTGGTCTCTGCCAATACTTAATCCAGTCCTTGCTGCCCTAGGGATAAAAGACGACATCAAAAAGCGTAACTCAGGTGCTCTCCTCAACTAACAATGAAAGTGCAAATCTTGAAAGGGATGAACGGTGCAGTCACGTTCAGTGATGGTTTCCACAGGGACTGGAGATGAGGAGGCACCAAGCTCCCACAGACACCCACCCATCCCTTTCTCAGGTGCTTTTGGAAGACACTTCCAACCATCACGACAGTTTTGAAAACAGTGCACTTGGTCTGAAGTTTCCCCTCCTGGCCTGGCACTGCACCATGTCCTGCCAGGAGCAGCCACCATGAAGCAGCTCAAACAAACCCCATTTTGTCCTGGTAGGAGTCACCCCATCACCCGCTCCCACGACCCTCAGTCCTGCAGAGGCAGCTCCAAGGACAGGCTTTTTCCCAGCCCAGCTGTGTGGGTGAGGGCATGTGGAAACAGTTATTTCATGGGTCTTCTCCAGCTCCAATTTCTACGGTTCTTCAGAGAAACAACACAGAGAAACCACCAGCAGGCCTTTTCCATGGAAAGAGCAGGGGAATCTCCTGGAGTTGCAGCTGGCATGCCTCAGGGAGGTGCACCCATGGGAAGCACCACTGGGAACAGGGGAACTGCTGCTCCTCAGATCCCACTCTGCCATTCCTTCAGGGGTGGGGAGAGCCGAGCAGATGTCAGGGAGGCAGCGGGTGGCCAGATCCAGGAGGGTAGGGGCTCTGCAACCCCATCACGTGGGCTGGGCCCATGGCCAAAACCAACAGGCAGAGCTGTCTAAATATTTACAGCCCTTCCCACGCCAGCAGCAGGGTCTGCACCATGGAGGGAACTCGCTGACTCGGTGAAACCTGGGAACCAGCAGCACCCCTCCCTCCGGAAAGGATGCCTTACCCTGCCCCACTCCCAACCTGAGAGCCTCCATCCCTCGGCCCTGCTCCAGCCTGCGTTGGCTCCAGCCTACTTGCTGCACACGTGTCAGGTCAAACCCCACAGAAAGGTCTGATGCCCGAAGGCAACGGGCCAAGCTGAGCCTTGGAAGAGGCAGAAATCACCGTGGCTGAACCCTCCGTTGCTTCGCTTCAGTCACGGGTCAGGGGAGCATAGCCAAAATTCATGCCCGTGCTTCTGAAATCCTTCAGACACAGCTCACAGCATTTGTCATGGCAAGGCGAGAAGAGCTTTCAGGGTCACTCAAATACACTCAAAATCCAGCTTTCAGGATAAAGAAAGCCCCATGCATGCACCCTCAGCTCCCGCCACTCCTCTCCCAGGCACCAGCTCCCCTGCCCTCGACAGCCTCAGCAAAGACCAAAGCAAGGAAACAAGACCTGCTCTCGGGCCTGGGACAGTTTGGGAGGTGCGGTTGAATCTTGTTCAATGCCAGGGGAGAGGAGCACTTCACATTAGCACCAAACACTCCCTGTGCTCCCACCCCTTGGGGGGCAGAAGCAAGATCCTTCCCTGGAAATGGAAACCTGCAGATGCAGAAGGCTGACCTGCAACAGACACCACAGGTGGCTCCCAGACTCCCTGGTTCCTCTGACTTCCTAGATTACAAGTAATTGGCCACATACTAACTACTTAAAAGTTACCACTTGAGAAGTTTACCATCAGGATCTCCATCGCCCAGGATTCTCCTTGGTCGCATCTCAAAGTGAGTGCCCCAAACAGAAAGATAAAGGCAGAAAAAAAGGCCCCGGAGATCTTGTAGCCCAGTGCCTGCAGCATCCCTGCAGCTGCTCTCCTCAGCATCCCTGGAAAAGCAGCTCAGAGGGAGAACAGGCCAGTAGAAAGTGGGACTGAAAACCTTCCTAAGGGAACTGTCAAAAAATGACAGGTTGCTAAAAGAAATGCAAACGGCACCTGGCCAACCATAACAGAGCTGTCAGCGAGAGCTGCCAGTCAGCTGGCATGGCAGCCCCGAGGGACACACGCAGGCAGCCTGCGGCGGGTGAACGCCGGAGGGAGACCCAGGACATCCCTCCGGGCAGCACAGCACCCCAGGCAGCGCGAGGGCATGACCCACGAGCAGGGGGCTGAGGGAGCCAGCTCAGATGTGCATCCAGAGCTGCCAGTGGCAGGCAATGGAGCATGGGAACAGAGGGGATGAGGAGCCAGTGCAAGTTATCTCTAATCCGAAAAGGCTGCCAGACATTTAATTTTACTTCATTTTTTTCCTCGTGAAGAAACATGGTAGCAAGCATAAGCCCTGGGAGCTGTCACACCCCACAAGTATTTTTCCAGGACTTAGGAAGGTGCAGCAACGGCTCCTGGTGACTTCCACCGCTCAAAGGGACCGAAGGCTCTGGAGTCCTTCATAAGCCCTCAGCCTTGCACCTTCCCCAAGAAGCACGTTGTCCCATACATGATTCAAGCGGCTGACTTGAGGCAATGGAATTAGGAACGGATACTA